CTAAATCATCTTTGCAACTTTTCCCCAAATCAATTGACTGTATATTTGTGCATCTCTTCTTAGGCTCTATATTCTGTTCCATTGATCTACTTGCCTGTCTTGGTGCTAACAATGTAGCATATTATACCATTTTACTGTCCTGATTACTGTAGCTTAAAAATAATTCTTAATCTTATGTCTTAAAGTAGTGTAAATCCCAGAACTTTGTTCTTTTTGTTACATTTGTTTTGACTATTGTAGGTCTGTTGCATTTCTATATGAATTTTAGAATCAGTATGTCAATATGTACAACAAAAGGCCAGCTGGGATATTTATTGAGATTGCACTGAATCTGTAGATCAATTTGGGGAGAAATAATATGTTAACAATATTGAGTCTTTCAATCTGTGAATGGGTGCATCTCTCCATTTATTTAGCTCTGCTTTGATTTCCTTTAGCTGTTCTGTAGTTTCCAGTAACACTCGCACATGTTTTGTCAGATTTATGTCTAAGAATTTCACTTTTTGAGGTTCTCTTCTAAATGATATTGCTTTTTATTTTAATTTCAGATTGCCCAATTTTATTATATAGAAATGATGTTGCCCTAACCAGTTTTTCTCAGTGGTTAGAGCGTGGACCTGTGGAACAAAGGTTCGAGGGTTTGATTCTGGCCAAGGGCATCTCTCTCTCTCTCTCTCTCTCTCTCTCTCTCTCTCTCTCTCTCTCCCTCCCTCCCTCCCTCCCTCCCTTCCACTCTATCTAAAAATCAATGGAAAAATATCTTTGGGTGAAGATTAACAGCAAAAAAAGAAATGATGTTGATTTTTTGTATATGTTTTTCTATATTGCAAACTTGTTAAAAGAATTTATTATTTCTAGTAATTTTTTGGCATATTTTATCAGATTTTCTACTTAGACTCTCATGTCTGTGAACAAGCTGTTTTACTACTCCCTTTCCAAACTGGTTGCCCTTTACTCTTGCCTTAATGCTGTGGCTCAAAGATCCAGTACAGTGATAAACAGCTGTGTCGAGACTAGAGCCTTATATCTTACATTTGGAAGAAAGCATGCAGTCATTTAACATTACTTATGACATTAGCTATAGATTTTGTGGCCTAAATTTATCAGATGAGGAATTTCCCCTCTATTTTAATATGCTTAGAATTTCAATAAGCATTTGGCGTTAGATTCTAGTATTTATTGAGATGATCATATGGTTTTTCTTACTTAGTCTCAAGATAGTGAATTATATTGATTAACATTTCAATTTTATAAAAATCTTGAATTCCTGGAATAAATCTGTTTTATGATGTACCATTCTTTTACATATTGGTAGATTTGATTTCCTAAAATGTTGAGAATTTTTTATATTTCTGCTCAAGGGGGTATGCATTGATAGTTTCCTCCTCCATACCCAGAGAGTTCAAGTATCTTGAAGACAGGTACTATGGTACATACACAGGTACCTATTCACTATATATGTTTGTGTGTATATATGTGCATGTGTCTATATGTATCCTTACATGTGTATTTATACATGGTTTTATACAGCCCAGGTACAGTAATAAAGGCTAAATAATTATTTATTTTACTGACTTGGGTTTTGAATACATTTGATAATATCCGTTTATAAATAGCTTCTCTATGTTGTTTGATAGAATAGATGTGAACTTGTTTTGCTACCAAGCAGAGTAGCCTGTGAATTCTCCATCCACAGATTAATGGGCCAGAAACTTTTCAGGCTAGAACATCAAGCGTAGTACTTAACCTAAGCTTTGGGAACCAGAAGAACATACCTAGACTTGGTATTAAGAACACTATTTTTCATTAAGCTTGCCTATTTGGATAACAGAAATCAAATTATTATTTAAAAGAGTTGTTACTGAATTAAGAGGACTTTTTTTTATCTTAGAAAGGCACAAGACTGATTTGTTCTTCAGTTCTGAAAATTTGCCCAAAGGATGGTTTAGGAATTAGGTATATAGTTATAGTTATCTAATTAAAGAAATTAAAAATGTATATAGATATATTCAGTAAAGTCTGAATACTTTGGAACCCACCAGTTTAGAATATATGATCATTTGAAAATGATTCATGAAGATGTTTTTGGCCTTGTATTAACTATAAAGAAAGTGAAATAATAGTGAAATAATAGCCTAAATATGATTGTTGAGGATTATCATATGCATAAATTAATTAAAAAGTGAATTTATAATTGTAATGATAATTATGTAAATTATTCTATTAACCTGCTCTTATAATTATAAGGAACTTTTTGCAATACAATGGTTTCTCTTTTTATGCAAATAGCAATACATATTTACTAAAAGAAATTTAGTGCACACAGGCAGAGGAGATAAAAGAGAAAGAAGTTTTAGTAGACTCCAATTACATATTTCCTTCCAGTATTTTTGAGTTGACATAATGACTTTAGGGGTATGTGTGTGTGCACACACGGTTGTGCTTGCTTGAGTGTGCACGTGTTTGAGTGGTCGTGATTTTGCAGAATTATAATAAGGTCTAACTGGATTTTCCATGTGAGTGGTAATCAGAGAGAGCATGTTCAGTATGCAAGTATTAGGGTCTCTTGATGTCACAGGTTTCATCAGGTGTGATGTGCTGCTCTGATAAAGACCTGACAATTTCCCTGAGAACACCTGCAGGCGGTCATGAGTTAGGAGGTGCACTGGTGGACAGTTTCCCAGGGGTGCCCCCTCTCATGTTATGGGACAATTCCTCCTTACTTGAGTTCTTTATTTTGAATCATTTCTTATTCATTTGATTTATCAATTAATAAGCTGCATATAAAAGAAATCTCAACATAATAGTGGCTTAAGCACAACCTTTTTCCTCTTTCATAGGAAATAAGTCCAGAGGTGGGGGATTTCATTCAGGTGGATTCACAGCAAGGGACCCAGGCCACTTCCATCTTCCTTCTCTGTCATTCTTAGTGGAAGCTTTCTTCTGCCAGGTCACTTTATGATCCTAGATGGCTGCTGACCGTTGACACAGTGGCGTTCCAGGCAGTGAGAAGTGGGCAAGGGGTAAGAGAGAAGCTCTTCCGGTTGAGTTAGTCCTCAGAATAATTGCTCTCGAACTCTTACTCAACAACCTCCATTTATTCCCGTGGCCAGAATGCAGTCTCGTGGCATACCTAGCTTCGGGTGAGCCTGGGAAATGCAGTTTCTTAGTGGAGAAAATTACTAACGCAAATAAAAACAGAGTTTATTTATTCAGAAGGAAGGGGAGGCAACCATCTGAAGTACTTATTGTCTTTAAAACCACACCATACATCCAAATACAATCAAGCTGTACCCAGTAAATTTCACAAGAAAGATACACAAGTGACATATTTTTAAGACATTGCAGAACTGTGAAACTCTTTCTTTTAATTTCGCACATAAAAGATAATTTCACTAAGTATAATATGATTGGGACATACACATTACAGTGATCTCAAAACATTCTGCGCGTTACTCCATCAGCACCACCTTCAGCGTTTTAAGGCAATCTAATTTTTCCTGAGTAACCTGTTTTGGTTGTTATTTTGTTTTGTTTTGCTGCCTCCGTATAAATAAGACTGATTTGTTGGTACATGGAATTCATTTTGCAATGTTATGGTCTGGTAATATCTTATCATATAGAAGCATATGGTATAAAGAGTATTTGTAGCTTCGTAAATAAGAAGTTTTTATCTAGATGTGACTTTTTTCCATGGAGAAATAAAGTGTTTCTTATGGATGAAGGAATGTCAAACACCCTTGCGAAAACTTTTGACTTGTCTTTATACCCTAACCTTCATACTGGAAATCACCTAAAGCAAATTTTCAGAAAACCTGTTACATTATCTCCACGACAATGCCTAAAAGTAGATGTACTCTGTTTCTTTCTGAAATACCTTGGGTCAGGAGTAGAATTAAATTCTGTCTATTGACTCAGGAAAATGAACAAATTGTCTTTACATTGTTTATCTACAGTCTATAGAGAATAAGAAATATGTTTTCTTTTCTTGCCTAGTATAAAGCAGTATCTTCAGAAATGCTTGGTGTATAATTAATGCATAAAGTTTCTAAAATTATTAGAAACTAATTGAGTTAATTCATATTATCTTATTCCATGAAATAGGTATTGCTGCATAAAAAATTATCCCAGAACATTAGTGGCTTAAAGCAATAACACTAATCATCTCACAGTTTCTGTGAGTCAGAAACCCAGACATGGCTTATCTGTCCCTGTGTCTTCAGAGTTGGGACATATCATTCTATGGACAAAACAAGAGAAAATGTATCATAGATCTGTCTCGCGTGGAAAACCATTGCAGTAAAAACACCAAGCATACATAAATATATTGTGTTCTCATCTTGATTAAATTTGCTTAGAACTTTTGCCTTTGTCTTGTTTGTTTTTATTGCTATGTACAGTGAATAATTGCTACAGTAGTGGTCAAAAGAGTACACTTTAAAAATGCTCTTAGTGCCCTCGCTGGTTTGGCTCAGCAGTTAGAGTGTTGGCCCATGGACCAGAGAGTCCTGGGTTCAGTTGCCACCAAGGGCATGTACCTCAGTTGCAGTTTGTCCCGGCCCCAGGTGGGGTCGTGTGGGTGGCAACCAGTCGATGTGTCTCTCTCACATGGGTGTTTCTCCCTCTCTCCCTCCCGCTCTATTAAAAAAGAAAAAAAAGAAAAGAAAAAGCTCTTAGAGCCGATTCTGAAGAAGCAGAACAGCCATTGAATAAATTTTAGGTCAGGAAAATACTTTAATGAAAGTATCTATATTGTCTTGAACTTTCAGAAAGACTATCCTTGACTGTAATACCTAAACTAGCAACCTACAGCCCTAATCTTATTGATGGGTATATAGAATTTCTCATAGTTGTTTAACTGATAAAGTTGGAGCTTAACTGTACCCTAAAAACCTCTGAAAAAATTTCTATTTGATGAATTAGAAAGATTTGTGTATTTAACATTGGACTAAGTCATCTCTTTCCATTCCTCTCTTCTGGTTGCTTCGGGAAACAGACTAAGATGCTTAGTGAAGCAGCTGGAGAAGGGTGACGTCAACATCGTGGACTTGAAGAAGAACATAGAATACGCAGCATCCGTCTTGGAAGCAGTTTATATCGATGAGACAAGGTACGTTGTCGCCTCCTCCTACCTCTTTTATCTTCTGGGCCTCCTTCCCCCGTTTCCTCTTTCTTAGTCCTTTATCTCCGACGTGAATTTAGCATATTTTAGTCATGATATTAAAATCAAATCTTATTTACATTTAAGAAGTTCTTCATGTACATACTGAACTAAACTATGATGTTTTCTTTTAAACAATGCACATTTTAATTCATGTTTGAATACCAAAAAGCAATCAAACAAAAAAAGTCATGAAATGAACAAATGAAAGTCCCCTCTCCTCTCAACCTCACAGTCTTTAGGCCAGATTTTTAAATGTCAGAAACAGATATAGGCGAATTTTCCTCGATGTAAGGATTCTTCTACTATCTCAAGATTTCAGAGTTCCTTCTGGGAAGTGGGTGTCCATGGGCACACATCTCATGACAGGTGTCTGTCAGAATGTCTGTGCAGGGCTTCCTAAGGGCCAGTCCCAAAGTGTGTTTGATCATCACCTAAACCTCATCAACTAGCCTTGTAACCGCAGTGTGAGGAGATTAGGAGATAAGAGTTTAGTTGAAGGGGGTGGTCAGCCCAGTGCTGTGGCTCTCAACCAGGCTCTTTGCCTTCCAGGGGTCATTCGGCAATGTCTGAAGATACTGGTTTGGTCGATGGGGTTATGCTACTGTTATGTGATGGGTAGAGGCTAGGAATGCTGCTAAACATCCTACAATGGACAGGAAAATTCCCCACAACAAAGGACTATCCACCCCAAGTGTGAATAGTATGGTTGTTAAGGGAGAACTATGCATTTTCTGGCCTAAAGGGAGAACTGTGCATTTTTTCTTTCTTCTCTAAGAGGGTACCCCTGATTTCAAGTCACGAGATGAGGTCTTGGAAACTCTGGTGCTAACTGAACACTCAGTAAAACACGATATGACGGTTCTTGAGAGATTTGTCCAGTACCTTTTGAAGTTCAGAGAGTACTGAGACTGTTTCCTAACTCTCATGTCCAAAAAAGAAAGTTGGCCCTGGCTGGTTTGGCTCAGTGGTTGGAGCGTCAGCCTGAGGACCAGAGTCCCGGGTTCAGTTCCCGTTGGAGCGTGTGCCAAAAAACAAACAAACAAACAACAAACAAACAAAAAGGTAAAGTTGCAGGCTCGTTAGGACAACATTGAGTTCACAGTTAAGAAGGAACCTGTGGAGGGAGAGACATGCACTTCCAGCATTTAGCAGAAAAAAGGCACCGAGTGTTTTCAAAGTGGCAGGTGGAACAGAGATCTTTTGAAGAAAGAAAGCAAAGAAACTGACTTCATGGAACAGACAGGAATCTCAGAGGAAAGGGGCTGGAAGAGGGAAGAGATTAACCAAACAAGTTAAATGCATATATTTACTGCCCATGGACACAGACAATAGGGTGGTGGAGGCGGAGGCTGGGCAGGACCAGGTGGAGGAGGGCAATGAGGGGAAATTGGAGACATCTGTAACACTTCCAACAATAAAGATTAAAAACAATAGAGAGTGAAAAAGAGGCTGTTTGGGGTGATTGTTGATATAAGAGCCAGTGTAGAAATCATAAATATTCAACCCAAATATTAGAGAATATATAATAACATTCAAGGTACCCTTTTGGTATAGTGAGATGTCTTTGAAGAACTCACAAAATCTCCCCAGGAGAAAAAGATAACCAGCATTTGGGCATTTGTCACATAGATGACAAACACAAGGGTCTTGGCAGACCCTTTCACCCCTATAATTTTCTGTGTCCCCCACTACATTTTGAATAATAAAAAATAGCAGAGTGGGACGGGAGTCAGAACATGGAGAATGGAGACCTCAGACCCCTTCCCTCTGCAGGTGTCCCTGCCTGAGTCGGGTCTGAGCTTGGGGAGGGGAGAAACGTGGAACCAGAAGTGAAATGGAAGTTTTTATATATCGATGTGTACTGGGCTCAGGCGCGCGCGCACACGCACACACACACAACGCTATTTAATAGGTAATAAGTTCACATGATTAAACAAATCAAAATAAGGTAAAAGGTGTCTCATGAGAGTCTTGCCTCTACCCTTGACCCAAGCTACTCAAATTCCTGAATCATAAATGTCCTATCTATATTTCCAATAATTTATTACAAATTTTAATTTCGCATTTTTCTCTTCTTCTTTTATGGAAGGTTACATACCATGTGCACAGTTTTTTTATTTTGTTCTCCCAGTAAGGGAACTTGGAGACCTTCCTACATCACATACTGAACTTCTTAATATCTCGAGAATTTTCACTAACAACCGACAGAAGCGGCACGGTGAGGGCTCCGTTGCACAGGTGCTTCTCGGTCCTCAGATAGGAACTCCTCTGTTAAAGCATGGTTTGTAGTCATAGGTTAAGAAATAATGCATAGGCACGCTTTGAGGTTATAAACTCTATGCAGAATTGTTTCCTTGGTTAATTTTCATTGAATGTATATAAATGTATATGATTCTTCTAAACAAACAGAGATTCAAGGTGTCGATTTAAAAAAATCTGATGTTGCTCCTTTAACGTCCTTGCTCCTTCATTTTCATGTAAGCCCCTGACTGTGCACACGTTGACTGAACTGGACATGTTTAAGGTTTCTTCAATCTGTCCTTAACATTCTAGTTTTTATATTTATTTATACAACTAAATAACTTTTAAGAATTGTTTGGATATTTACATTATTTATCGTATAATGGCACAATGCTAACCATCTGTTATACATGAATGTTTCTTTTGATTATTACATGTAATATTTATTAATTTTCTGTTGTGTTTGCTTTCCCAGGAAGTTACAATTTCATAGGTATTCTGTTAACTTGGTTCCCCAGGATCCTTAATTCATTTAAGCATATGTTACATTCCAAAGCACAGCTCCGTTTATTTGAACATTGCTCTTTTGTGGGAAGAAAAATGCTTAATGGCTTTGTAGTAAAATTATGCTTTTTTTACGCAAATGACACAGAACTTTTTACTATTTTAATCTTTATTGTTGAGAGCATTACAGATGCTCCCCCACCCCCCATCTTCCCTCATTGCCCCTCCACCCTGGTCCATTCCCACCCCACCCCAGGACTTCACTGCTCTATTGTCTGTGTCTGGAGGGTTCTGCATATATGCACATGTGTTCTTTGGTTAATCTCTTCTAGTCTCCCACTCCCTACTATTTTATTGTGATGCTCCTGTGCTTCCATGGCATCTTGATTTCTAAAGTGGATTCATAATAATACCCCTCATTTGTACCATCTTCCAAGGGCTCTTAGAGTCATTATCTCATACTAGTCTCGCCACAATCCTCTGTAACCGACAGGCTGATCGCTGCTTTCTGCACTACACTAATAAGAGAACTAGAGCTCTCGGAAGCAAAATGGTTTGCCAAGGGTCGCAGAACCAGGCGCTGCAAACCTGGACTGGACTCTCAGGGATGACTTCCTAGTTATTGCTCTTCGCTGGCTCCTCTCAGAGTATTGCTATAAAGCTGGAGGGTTTTTACTGACCTCTGGAAGATTTAGATGACAAAATGTGAAATTTTTTGGTTGTTGGAATTGCAAATTCTAGAAAAACAACACCTAATATTTATTACTAATAGCCTACTATTATGTCTCAGTAGGTGCCAAGAACACTTTTAAGAATTGTAATGCACTGTTTCATTTAATTGTCACAGAAATCCTGTGAGATAGAAACTTTATTCATTACTAATTCACATATGAGGAAACAGTCCCACAAAATTTATGTATCTCACCCAAAATGACACAGAGTAACTTAAAGAATAGAGTCAGGGCCCAGGCAGCCCAGCTCTACTATGTGGGCTATTGAGCACAGTTCTCATCTGCATCCCTCAGTAATTCTGGCCAAAGGCTATTCCAAGGACAGGCTGGAAGTTGTGATGGAAGCCACGTGCTGGCAGGGGTGCTGTGGTTGCCCTTCAGGATGTCACAAGACATCCAAGATTAAGTCTGTGACTTCAAGATTAAAATACCAGCTCAAGAAATTTTCGAGCAAGACTTGATGTGTCTTGGTTTCCTACAGACTTAGTGAGACACACAGCGGTAGACAGGGGCTATTTTTGTTGAGATACATATGCAATGATTTAAATTGCATTTGCCTTAGGAATATTAGTAAAATAGTTGCTTGGGAAGGAAGAGGGATGAAGAAGTTGTCTTTACACTTTAAGTTAAAAACCTGCTGACTTGCTGAGATGTTTTCAATGGAAAATTTTCTTTCTAGATAAATAAGTTTTAGTGATTATTCCAGAGAGGCAGTTTTTTTGTTTGAAATCTGGACTGGGCTGCACTGAAAGGTCAACACCTAGTAAAGCAGGATGAAACAGAAATTATTAATTGATTTAACACACACACACACACACACACACACACACACACCCCTTTCCTTGGCGACTTGCTGACTGGAGGGTTTCAGTTAAGAAAACAAATCAAAACAAAAATCTCTCTTGAAAAATGATTTCAGGGAGAAAAATAAAAGCAGAGATTCGGACAGAATTTGAATTCCGACCTTCTCTGAGGGATTACAGCACAATTCCCTAATGGATATCAGTTTGTTGGTTTTTCAACAAGACATTTCAAATGCAAATGCCAATATTTTATGAGCACCGCTTTCCGATGTGTCCCTAGAGGCCATTGTTTTTCAAAGCTGCTCAGTTGTAATCCAGAAACATGTGGGCTGAAAAAAATTTTTTTTGTTTGATTTTCCTTATTTGAATTGGGATACTGCCAGGCAAAGTATCATCCTTGGCCTCATGAATTGCTAATTTGTGAGGGTAGGTGGCTGATTGGGAGGTATACTTTCAGTGATAGATTCTATGTTTACTAATACTACCTAAAACACAATTTATAATTTCATTTTCTTAATGTGAAGAAATCCAAGTTTTATGATTACCATAGTTAGAGCACAGACTCTCGATTCTGAGAATGGGTTGTTCAAAGCCTGTATCCTTCACTCCGTACTCTCTTTCTTTAAGCAAGTTACTTAACTTCTATATTTTCTAGCTTTATTATCTG